TATAGCCTGTGCTAGCTTGGTACTCATTATGTAGCTCAGGCTGTCTTCAAACTTGTGGTAGTCCTCCTGCCTCAACTTTTTTAAGTGCTGGAATTATAGATGTTGCCATCACACCAAGACGCCTGTCTTAAACAGGGTCTGATGTAGCAGAAGCTGGCCTTGAATTGGGGGGGGGGGGGGCGGTTGTTTTGTTTTAACTTTTTTTTTTTGGTCTTTTTGAGACAGGGTCTCTCTGTCCCCTTTTGAGACAGGTCACTCTGTCTCTTTGAGACGGGGTGTCTCTGTTACCAGCTGTCCTGGAACTCACTATGTAGACCATGGTGGCCTTGAACTCACAGAGATCCGCCTGCCTCTACCTCCTGAGTGCTGGGATTAAAGGCGTGTGCCACTACACCCAGCTTATTTAGCTTTTAGAAAAACTTTATTGAGAATTTCATACATGCATATAAGGTGTTTTGATCAAATCCATGCCCACTCCCTCCCTTCCAACACCACCCATATTGCCCCATCACTTTTTTCTCTCTTTTTTTTTTTTTTCTTCTTTCATTTATTTTTATGGGGCTTTTGGGTACTCTTAACAATCCCCCCTCTGAAGAGGTAATCCTAAAATCTTTAAAGAATTAGATACAAGCTCCCAAATACTTTTGACAATTTTGGCCTTTGGAACAGAGTATGTTGCTAAGAGCCCCAAGGACATTTTGACTTTTAGCCAAGAAGCTGGGTACTTTTCTTTGGGGTCTGTTTATACTAACTGCCTAGCCAATTCCTACTTCCTATTCTTACCACACCATCCTCTGAAGAGGTTACCCAGCTTGCGGATAGGGAATCTGGATGCCCAGTTTTTATCATTCTTCTCTTATCTACTGCCTTAGGTGCCTCCTTAGCACAGCAGGCACTGTGTCAGTCTCATAAATTACATTGTAATAATTCCTCAGAATTTCTCATAAATAGTGATGATAGATAAGAATAAGAACAGCCCTTGGGGCTGGAGAGATGGCTCAGCGGTTAAGAACACTGGTTGTTCTTGCAGAAGACCCGGATTTGAATCCCAGAACCCACATGGCTAGTAACAACTATCTGTAACTCCAGTCCCAGGGGATCCGACAGCCTCTTCTGACCTCCGCGGGCATTGCACGGCATGGGCGCACTTACCTACATGCAGGCAATATGTGCATACATATAAAAATAATAAGATTTGAAAAATAAATAAGAACAGTCCTTGCACAAGATAAGATTGCCTTTACTATTTCTTCTTTGGGTAGGATAGTGCATGTATGTGACTACACCTGTGTCATGCAATGGACAGTGCTTTTATAAGTTTGAACCTAAGTTCTTTGTGGTTTTGAATACATAAATAGAATTTTTTAAACTATTATTTTTATTTTATGTGTATGTGTGTATTGCCTGCGTGTAGGTAAGTACACCCATGTCATGCAATGCCCACGGAGGTCAGAAGAGACTGTCAGATCCCCTGGCACTGGAGTTACGGCCAGTTGTTAGCTGCCATGTGGGTGCTGGGATTCGAACTCAGGTCTTCTGCAAGAATAGCCAGTGTTCTTAACTGCTGAGCCATCTCTCCAGCCCCAAAAGCCTTTTCTTTTTACTCTTATTTCCACCTTCCTTTTCTGTTTTGTGTATTTGTGTCCTTTTTCCATTTTTCTTGATTTTTATCAACTATTGTTTCTTTTCTCCTTGTTTTTAGTCCTCCTATGTTACCAGAGAAACAACTCCAGAATTGACCTTGGCAGTGCTCCCCTCAGTTTTCTTTATTTTTTGAGACAGAGTTTTCCTGTAGCCACAACTGGCCTGGAACTCACTGTATAGACCAGGCTGGCTCAGATCTCACAGAGATCTGCCTGCCTCTGCCTTTCAAGTGCTGGGATTAATGGCATGCGCCACCATGCCATCTTCAATCTATTTTCTTACTCATGGATTTCTTTTTGTATTTGGTGATTCTTCTGCTTTATCATGTTTGACACACTTCTTCAACATTTAAATTATGTGATCCCCTTACTCCCTTAAATCTTCATTCTGTGTTTATCCTTTTATGATACTGCTATGACTATGTACCGCTGTGTAACATCACCTTGCAGTTCAATGGCTGCAAGCACTGTCTCCTTTCAAAGTCTATAATTCAGTAGCTTTAGTGTATATTCAGAGTTATGCAAACACCACAATCAATTTCAGAACATTCATATTTAGAATATTTTAATTTGTACCCTAAAATCACTTGTTAGGCATCACTGCCCATTTTCCCCCTTCTTGTCTCTGCTCTTCACCCTGTACAAACACTAATCTCTATAGATTGACACAGCATAGAAAATCCATGTAAATTATGTAGTCTCTTGTGATGGGCTTCTTTTAGCATTCCATCCATATTGCAATGCATATCAGGCTTTAATCTTAAACTTCTATTATTTTACTACATTTTATTTGTTGTGTGGGTGTGCACATCCATGTATGTGTACATGCCGTGGCTCACATCGGAGATCGGAGAACAGCTTGTGGGAATCAGTTCTCTCTCTACCATGTGGGTCATAGGAATCAAACATAGGTCGTCTGTTTAAAGCATGTAAACTGATGGCTTTTAGTCTATTCACACACTCTTGCGTTCATCATCACAGATCAATTTTAGAACATTTCATCACCTCACAAAGAAGTTCTGACCTACTAGATAAGTATCTCCCACTCACCTGTCATAGGCAGCCATTAATCTGATTTCTCTCTGTTTTTATTGCCTACTCGAGACATTTCACACAAATAGAATCATACTGTGTGGTCTTTTGCAGCCACTCTTCTTTCATTCAGCATATTAGCATTTTATTTCTTTTCATTGTCAAGCAATATTCCATTGTATAGCTTGTTTTTGTACTCAGCAGATGATGGTCGTTTCAGTTTTTACTTTTTGGCTATCATGAGTAATGTATGGTGCTGCTACAAATATCCATGTACAGGTTTGTGTGTAGCTTCTATGTAGGAACTGGGAACTGAACCCAGGTCCTCTGCAGGAGCAGCCCAGTGCTTTTAGCTGCACTCTGTCCAACCCAAGCTTTTCTCCACATTCTTGACAGCACCTTAGTTGTTTTATTACATTTATTTGTTCATTGTGTGTGTACGCATGCACATGCATTCCATAGCACACAGAGATGGTATTGCAATGGCATCTCCCTGTGGTTTTGATTGACATTTCCCAGTGACCAGTGATTTGTGCATCGTGTGTGTGTGTACACTAGCCTATGTATGTACAGGTAGAGACTAGGGGTTGATGTTTGGTGTCTTACTCTATTATTCTCCACTGTATTTTTTGAGACAGTGTCTTGAAGTGAACCCAGAATTCACTGTTTTTGTTAGATGGGCTGGGTAGCGAGGCCCTAGGATCTGCCTGTAGATGTATACCACCATTCCCAACATTTTACCTGTGGGCTGGGGATCAAATTCAGATCCTCAGGCTTGTGTGGTAAGCATTTTTCCACTTGAGTGAGCTATCTCCCGGCCTCTACTTTGACTGTTAGCGATACTATTACGTCATCAAATTGCAATATTGATAAATATGAAGAATAGTTTTTGCTCAGGGGAAAGATGTTTCTGGTTTTCTTTCCTATCTTTTCAGTGCAAGTACATAAGGAAGCATAGACATAGGAAAGAAATTGAAATTTTATTATTAAAATTTCATTTTTTCTTAGACACATAGACCTCAGACATCCCGACCCAATCTCATCAAACCAGCTGCTCAGTGGCAAAATCTGAACAGATGGGGAGAAGAAAGACCTAAAATTTCTAGAACAGACTTTGAAACACATTTACACAACTATTTTTCCTTGTGTAACAACTCGTTGTTTGATTCTGGGGCACAGGATGATTCTGAGGATGAGTATGATGAATTTCTGGATCTTGGGCCTCCTGAAGCCTCTGAATTCACAAAGTCAAGTGGCCAAACAGAAAAAGAACCCAAACCTGGGCCAAGTCATAACCAGATAGCGAATAACATTGTCAAGCCAAGATTGGAACAGAAAGTCATTATATTGGGAGAGAGTGGCCTTCTTTTTTCAGAAAGTGATCCTTTGGAGGCTCACAGCCAATCATCAGAAGACTCGGAGACAGAGCTCTTATCAAATCTTGGAGAACCAGCTGCCTCAGTAGATGACCAGGTGATTGAAGAAGACTACTGGCTTGACCATCCCTATTTCAGGGCTCTAAAGCCACAATCCCAGGAGAGAACAAGCCAGGTTGTGCCGCAAGAGCGGCATTCTGAAGCAGAAATGGGCCCCTTGTTCTTGCAGCATGATTTCCCAGAGGCAGCTTTTCCAAGGCCAGAACCCCAGCAGGAGGGGATTCCAGGCCCTACTTCTCCTCAGCCTGCCCATCCTCTTGGAGAGCTTGAAGACCAGGAGATAGCAATTGATGAGGAAGAGCCAGGGCCAGCCTTCCCCCTACCGGAATCTCAGGAAGCCAATTTGGAAAACCTGTGGGGGCGGGAAGCTACTGAGATGAGTCAAGAGTTCATTGCACTATTGGTGAAAGAAACCGTAAGTTTTGTATCTTTTTATTATGTTTAAATAGAGGTAGATACTAGCCTGGGTGTGGTGACACATACCTTTAATCTCAGCACTAGTGAGGCAGAGTGAGGTAAGCAGATCTCTGTGAGTTCAAAGTCAGCCTGGTCTACATAGCAAGTTCCAGCCCAGCTATAGCTACAGGGAGACCCTGTCTCAAAAAGACAAAAAAAAAAAAAAAAAAAAAAATGTAAAAAAATATCGGAATTTTTTTTTCTTTCCAGGAAGAAAGAGGATGTATGTAAAAATTTTCCCTTTCTAAAGAGGTGTGTATAAAAACCGGGGGGGGTGGTGCT